TCCCCAGACTCCAGGACTGGCCCATGTTCCTCTCCAACCTCCTCACTGTCCGAATCTGCTGCTAACTCTGCTGGCGGGCCACAACAAAACTCAGGTTCTGCTCCATCTTCAACTATGAAATCTTACTATGGGTAATTTTGGACCAGTCCCACTCAATCCAATCCACCCACACTATTGATGTGTGAAGAGAAAAAGAGGAGGAGAAAGTATTATGTGCACCATTCAGTGCTCCTGAATGAAAAGCAAAGTATATATTAAATAAATAACCAACCAACCAACCAACCAACCACAGAACTGCTGCCTTCCTATCTCTAAGCTTCTTAGATATATCCACATTGTCCCCATATGATGCAGAAAGCTGAAGTGGATCCAAGCCTCATCTAGCAAAGTGTAAATCATAAACATCTAGCAGATGTTTCTAATTTACATATGGTGGTTTCCTAATATTCTTTTGGCCTGATCACTTCCCTGTTGCAGTGCTGCCGTTTTTCAGGCCTTTGTTTTGATCCCACGGTAATAGGGCCACCTTGAAAATACACAGACCTATTTATCCCGTGAAGAATGTGCAGCTGCTTCAGACAACTGTGTAAGAGAAATAAATTATACAAGGTTATATACACTACCTACGTTTCTGTTGGCAGAACAGCTCTTATGCAAAAGGAGGAAGTTGTCATTGGAATCAGAAACTGAAGATGACAATTGTGTGCATATCTATTTGTTTCATCATCCTGGTTTTTTTTTCTAACATCAGGCAGGCAAAAACCCTTGTGAGAAACTCTTTTTACCTCTATTGGAAACCATTAGCCCTGAAGATAGGAAAAAGCCCATCTAGCAGAAAAAGGCCCAAATGTAAATAAACAGAAGAATAAATTGATAGGCCAGCCTGCAGGAACCATCACCCAAGGTTACGACTTCAATCTTTCAAGATTGCAATACCCATCACCCTCTGACAGCCCAGGAAATGCAATTCTTCACATCTGGTGTAGGTTCTTCCCCATTCACTTATTTATTTAACTCGGCATATATACTGAACCCAAAACGTTTAGCCGTTTGCAATGAAATCTAAAACCCAAATGTTAGAAACAGATGGAATAACAAGACACAAACACAAG